CAGTTTTCAAACAGAACAGAACAGAACAGGAAATATTACGAATAATAAGCATAACAAGTACCGGCATTAGTAACACTACTAGGAAGTGTTACTGAAACATGATATAATTTGGATTGTTAAGTAACACCCAAGTAAATAGTACACGGATTTAATCCTGAAATTCAATATGTATACTAGTATGCAAAAAGTAAGAATATTCCGTCAGTAAGGCGCAAGGTCTTTATCACGAGCATACATTCAGTTTGTACATCAGTAGCAATATATGTTTAAGCAAAAACACAGATGGATGAATATTAAATAACGGGGAGAGACATTAGTTAATCTAGGCGGAAAAACAATTGATATAGATATAACGGGTATTTCTAAAACATCTTACATTTGGTGAGTCTGAGCGGTCATTAGAAAGCTCATGATGCTAAAATAAACATAAATACAGATAGATTCTACAACCGCCATCAGCGGCGATCAGCATGCATAATAAAGAACTCCAAGTATCAATAGATGTTAACCAAACAGACAACATTATAAAATTAATAAACACAAACTCACAATACAGCAAAGGAATAGTATAAGTATAGATTAGATAATTTATTAAATTACTTCATAAGTAATAAGAAGTTTTTATCATCAAAATACACACCGGCCATCAAGTCTAAGGGAGAGCTTGAAATAACAAGATAACACTTTTTGCAAGGCCAAACAAATTGTTTTGTTAAATACTGATTTGAAAGCATACAGGGTTGTTTGTCCAAGAAATCACAAATTATTATAATTTATTTGTTTACTCCTAATGCAAACAAAGCAATATCATTATTACTAATTATATGTACATAAAAAAACACACATAAAAACCCTGGTACTTTTGCATAAATTTGGCTCAAAAAGGGTGAACTCTCTCCCTAGAATCAGTATGTTTTTGAGTGTGTCATAAAGTTCCACAATTTTCAGCGGTCGTGCGATTGTAATATAATATCTTTAAAGGGATTTGATCATTGCCAGAGTCCACACCACTCTAAGCTATATTAAAATGCTTGCATTGTATATATTATCGTTGACGACGAGTATTTGTTTAACGTTATTCTAAGATGCTCATATTCGCATATATTGTTTTATGTACCTTTTGTCCACTTTTTATTATAAATTGATTCCTCGTAGTCGATATTTGGCTCATTGTAGACAACAACAGAACTACTGTAAACGCCAGAGTTGAATAACGTACAATAGCCAATTCTGATATGCTTTATTGCAAAGATGAAAGCGTATATTGGCTCCCCGCTACAAAATGAATAATTCAGAGACATCATGAATATAAAGACTGTAAAGCGATGTTTTGATAATTACTTATACTTAATTATGAAATATAATGTTTTGATTACGAACGATTCCTTTGCGACCGATACTTGAGATGAAATAAATTAGCAATGCAGTCCAAGGGATAGACAGTTAACGTGCTTAATCTTTTGGTGTAACTATAGTTAAGAAATGAAAGCAAATCAAAGAATTCGCTTGCTCACAAGAAATGTCATAATTTGAATCATAAATCATACAGTGATCGGCAGTAGCAGGTGCTTATATTAGCAATTAAACATACACATCGAATTACATATACTCACCATAAATGAGTGATTCTATTAAGACACTGTGGATCTGTCCAGTTATTTCGTATGTTGGTTAAAATTGGAATGTAAATGCCACAAGCAATTTGGCTATTGTGTAATAATGTTTCACTTCCTATGCAATTTATTAAAAATGGGCAGCAATTTAATGTTGATTAGTAGGACAGTCAATAGGGATCATTGAGTGCAAAATTAACCAAGAATAAATGTTAACTCAATGTAAAGCTATGTACAATGTATTTGAATTTTACAACATTTTTATAAAATATTAATACCACTTTTCTTAATACATGTATAAGGAATGTCAATTAACAACAGATACGTGAGCAAGACTTTTATGAAGATACCGTTTTCATAAGAAACAATTTAAACTTTATGAACTGGATTATGATACTATTTACTAAATTTGAGGCTTAAAATGTCTTGTTAGGAACCTGTTTCCCATTTCGAACGTGACTTTAAGAAAACCGTAGATAACGTTACGTGTAACAGAGATAAATGTGTAAACATCTTAATTCTTCTATATATGGATCTTTAATGAAAAGATTAAACGATGACTAGAAAAGCAGACGGGTGATTAACTATTGGACAATTTCTCCTGAAATTTCATGATGAAATGCGGATTGGCCGTTTATCATATTCCAAAAGAGCCATTAGTGCAGGAAGTAGTATCTGAAAGCTCAAGTAATTTGAAGAGAATGATCACCATCTTAACTAAAAATAATTTTCTTTCTTCGTTGTTCATAATTAAGCAGTTACGTACTACACCAGTTTTCTTGTTTATAACTTGTAGCAGGATTTTCATTTTTTTCCCTTTCCCTTATACGTATCATATCTAATGATAGTGCATCGTAGTCTTCTAAAGGCACTAGAATTAAACAAATTTATAAATACAGTAAATTCTCTCTATTAAGACCACTTACGGGACTGTACCACATTTAGAAAATATATGAAATTGGCCATAGTGATTGTTTTTCATGCTTCAACTTTGTCTGTTCCTTTTCATATTAATACGTTTTGTTTTTGCTTTTTAAGCGGGATATTTGGAGTGGGTGGGGTGGTAACAGCTTTGACAGTTTTGTATTTCTCGTGTATTTTGTATTTCAGTTGATGAAACTTGTTTATGAACTAAGTTGACAAGTTAATAAGCAACACATCGAGTATGATTACGCTCAGAGAAATATTTCTTTAAAAGAGCCGGCTATTTTAACATTCGCCATAACTTTAATGATTTTAACCATGCTTTTTTCTTAATTGGGTGGAATGTTTTGTTTTGTTTAGTATCTTAGGAAATAAATTGGCAGGTATAGATAATATTTTTAAACATATGTTTCACAGAAGCAAATGATGTTGTTTTTTTCTGGGCCCACAATGTATAACAGAACTATGTAACAACATTTAAGATTATTTCCCATTTTACCGAAATCTGGATAAGAGGGTGTATTGATATAATACCATTATATAAAAAGGGAAATAAAGATAATGTACAGAATTATGAAGTCATAACTTTATTAAGTCATCTTGGTAAGTTGTTTACCGAACAATTGTGAGACTACTCTCATCACATATAAATTATATAAAAAAATCAACGATCTACATCTCTTTAACTATTTGTCAAGGAGAAAGTAAATGTAGTTTAATGCTACAAAAACCTCTCTGTTTAATTAAAGATATTTTAATTGAGACTAGACTAGACGGGAAAGGGGAAATTATTTCCACAAACGAAACAATTGTCTTTCCTGCACAAATGCAATACTCTATGAGTAAGAATTCGAGTGTTTTGGAGTGTGTGCGATAAGCGTCGACGATAAACTAGAACATGTACAAATAGTTTACAACTAATAGTAATAGCCGTATGAACACATCCGCGGATGTTTCTAAATTCAAAATTTACCATTACATGTATAAATGTTAAATAATGTCTAAACCGGTGCTAAGGTGTGTAGACAGTAGTTTGCACTTTCCAGTACTGTCCATGAACAAGCTCAATCAAACCGAGCCTTTTGACTTTCTTTAGAAATTTCATTTACCTCTATTTTATGTTGTTAATGTGCCTGGTTCATGAAATGATATTATTCTATAATAAAAAAGCAAAAAAAAAAATTCATAAAGAAGGTCAAAAACGCAGAATTCAAAATGCTTCGGGCTTGGTTCGATGAACGTATAAATATAAAATAAATATAAAATAAAAATTTTACATATTCAAAGTATCTAAATATATAAATGTTAATACATGCATGAGATTATCAATTTGTATACATCGATGTGTGGCAATATCTCACGTTTTAAAATGGTTCACAGATGTAGCAGGCTTGATATAATCAGGAAGGTCGTTCCAAATGCAAGATCCAGAATAAACAAAAGACTTAGAAATTGTTCAGTATTTGGTCTAGCGGGTGTAAAGATGAAATACATTTGGAGACATGGGAGAGACAGTGCTCTTTTTTTTTTTTTTTTTAATATTTTCCGTTTCAAGTTGATTTTTTCTAATTCTATACAGAAGTTCAAGTCAGCGGAAATTAACGCCAGTAGTCTGACAATAATCTAACTTGCTCCAACTGGATGCGGGTTTTTTGGCCATTGATCTATTTGTATTTTGCAGTTGGAAAACCATAACCACGGACGAAAAAAAGTTTCTTTTCAAGATAAATTAATGTAAAAAATTATATGTTGTTGTTAAGTTGTGAGAGCAAATATCACTTCTAGCTGATAGTATTTATATTAAAGTTATTCAAAGTTTGTGGAATTTGTTTTTGTAAATCCTACATTTTTTACCATAATGCATTTTATTTCAAAAGGCCTACACCATCTGGACTTTAGCTGATACCTTGAAACTGAGAAAAAAAATAAATGTAACTCCGTGTTCTTCATGATTTGATTTTTTCTATAGTGATTTTGAGAGACATGTATATTGTGCAGTGTAGTTCTGCTTACATTTAATTTATTACTAGATCTGCCTACTGTATATATTTTGATTATTATGAGAATGTTTTTTACCGTAGAACTACATTATAGACATAATCTAATCTTTTTGTAAAGAGTTTTAAATGGTGTTATTTAAAAGTAAACATATTAATTTACAAGATACAACAATCTTAAGTATGATGCTTCATAGTTGGGCAATATATATACTGTATTTATTCGGTGATCAGTTTCTTTTTTCAATACATTGTTATTGTTAGCGCGAATCAAGCTTTATTTTCCTTAACATAATTATTTGATTATTCATCTCACCATTATTCTGATTTATATGTCATTAAACATAACCCTTGATTGGTAATAAAAATTATTCTATTCTACGTGTAGGCGCAGATTAAAATTCATATACGTATGCCGTTTCATACGTAGACCGTAACTTTAACCAGTCTAATTTGATTGGCCGATTTCATCCGGAAGTCAGAGATACGTGGAAAGGCATCAACATGGCTGACACCTTACCGAAAGAAATGGGTTCTTTGCAAATAAACGAAAGTAGCGATTCAAAATGTGAAGTAAATAATACTTCAACAGACCATGAAGATTGGGGATTTCCTTTAAATGACTTGTATAAAATGGCACTTCATTTCTATAAAGGTAATTGAGAAAAACATGAATGAAAATATATTCTGTTCGGCATAAATACAACTTCCGGTGAACTGTCAAACGAAACTCATAGATATTATTCCAAACTTTTGCTTATGAATACATGATATGGAAAAAAAAGATTACTTAATCTGCAATTATTCGATGGTCCATAAGTTTTAATTTTATTACCCAAATCAAAACTCTTACACAGTGTTTCTGCCAACTCTGATTTTCTGAGGGTCTTTTATGACCCCCTGTATGATATTTTAGGGGTCATTTCAAATTCATAAGGGTCATGCCAATAAATTTAACAAAAATGTAAAAAAAAAACAAACAGGTAACACTTTATAAGTTTTATTTACAATATTTTGTAATATTTTTCGTGAAGAAATTGGTCAATCTCTGCTATTTTGGATTATTTTGTCATCCAATAATAACGCTGTATTTCTTAAAAATTATGTGTGTTAATTTTCATAGAAGAAAGAAAGTCGATACTATATTGAAATTCGTTCATAGTCGCCTTCTATTTTTCATAGTGCTTCATAGTACCGCCTAGTGACGTAATCAAGGGCCAAATAAAGCTTGACACTAAATATGTTAGTGTTCATCCTTAGCTGTTTTACAGAAATTAGAAACATTCTCCTGTCGCTATCGCTCCCTTCGAAGTTTCTAATTTCTGTAGAACAGCACAGATGAACACTAACATATACGCAGACTGCATTTTCCAGCAGACAGTTATTCGTTCGCAGAATATGACGACAACAAAATAATAATTTTGTCTGGGCGCTTTCAATATATGCAGTAACGTGGATAAATGCAAGCGTTTATTAACTAGTTGAAATTGGCTAAATGCCGGACCACGGACCCGGTAAATTTCATTTCTCATTAAAATTATAGTGGAGCCCCACGGTAAACATTCCGTACATTTTTATACTGAATTGACGGTTTATAGTCTGTATATCTGACTTGTGTTGAAATCAGCCACGGTGAAATTCTTGCGTCACAAAATACGCACTAACTAAATTTCATTGCGTCATGGCTGAAAATAGTGCGCCAAAAACGCAAAAACGCGCTCTGGCAGAAACACTGCTTACATTACCAAAAATGCAATTATAATTTAAGAACATATCTTTCTACATTTGTAAATAAGTCCAGATATTAATTATGTGATTCCAATAATAAAGAGTGATTAAACAAACCAAAAATACATGTGAACTTTTTTCTACGATCAAGTGGGAGATTTTTCTTCAAAAAGAGGGAGATTTTAGAATTTGCAATAAACAAAGAAGGAAGTTCTGACATCAAAAATAGGGAGATTTCTTAAATTTGTGTAAATACCCCTTATTTTAAGAAAAATCTTTGAAAATATGGCTGCAAAAAGTGGGAGTCTCCCGCTAAAAGTGGGAGAGTTCACATGTATGCAAAATATAAAATAAATTGAAAAGTGGCCCGAGTTTGAATAGGGCCGAGCTGACTCAAGAGCCAAACTGTACGTTCTAGGGTAGTCCTAATTATAAGACCTATACGTAACCTATTTCATATTTATCATTCATTAATCTGATATTTTACATTTTCCATGTTACGTTAGGTCTTAAAAGATCTTTGCAAAATCATGTAGCAAAAAAATTGACATTAGACATCGATTTAGATCTAATGCATTTAAACAATTAAGACAGTGTGTATTTACATTAATTTTGACCTATTTATGAACAAAACTAAAAAATAAATACCTTTAATCAAAATAATTAAACTGTCACATCCAAAAAGTCATGATTAAATCCTCTCATTTAATTAAATTCCTTGTACAGTCGATATACAAATGGCCGCCATACAGTGCGCGAAATCTGATTGGCTAATTCAAATGCAAGCGTTTAAATGAGTCCAGAAGCTTCTAACGGAATATTTTTTCAACAAAATAATTGCCCATGCACCGTCAGTGTGTTCGAATATATTTTTCCGTTAAAAACATTGGAGTCAATCTGTAAAACGCTTTACTTAACCAGTATGGCCGATAGGCGAAATAGATTGATATTTATATTTTATTTTTAATTGATAAGTACATTTTTTGAGAGTTTTTGTTAATGATAGACCATTCAATTGAAAAAACAGAATATAAGCTTTTGAATAAAGCTTGAAAGGCAACTCAACAGACATTTTTTTAATTTTTCAAAATGCTATGCGTTTATGAGCAATAACTATTAAAAGTCAGACTTGACCAACATAAAACTATAACACGCCTGTAACGTCTAATATATTGGACTAGTTCTAGGGCCAAGCTGACCCTGATTCGGGCTCAGTGTAGCACTCTTTAAGATAACATGTATGACGTGAATGAATTAAATTGAAATCACATAAAAATCAATAGAAAATATATATCTAACAAGTTTGAGAAAAAATCCTTAGTGCCAGGGCACAGCCATATTGAAATCCTTGTCGCCATTTTGAAATTCTTTTGAGCTAAATATAGATATTAGGGCGCTTTTGAGCGTCTAAATAGTTCAGACTATTGCTAGTAGACGTGCTGGTCTTCTGTGTCAAATGACACTTCTGGTAGAAGAATTGTTTACAAAATCAGAAAATAATTAAACTTATCAATGATAGGAATTACTGTAACTGGTTTATGTCAAATGTTACTTTTACATATCAATTTTAGATGAACCAGCACATCAAAGATAACGTTAAAACAACTGTGATTAGAGATTAATAAAAAATGGTTGACAGGACTTTCCAAATTCTGATGCAGTGGTCCCCCTTTGCTTCACAGAGCATAGTCAATCAATTCACTGTCAGGAGTTTGGAGCTTTCTGGAAATATTCGGAGCACTCTGATGATAGGATGTTTGAACACCACTAACTTATTTGTTTCTGTTTTACGGTACAAAATACCTGCATTAACTTATTTACGAAGTACAAGAAAGATCTAGTTAACATGTTTACTGAACATGTTATGCTGACTTTCCGCGTCATAGGTGCCACCTATGTATATAAGTAAACAAAAAGCAGGTATGAATGGGTGGAAGTGTTCCAAGTAATTCCGAAAGTCTGGGCCATATTTGTTTCTCTCTAATCGGAGTTGTTGTTTTTTTAAATTATTTTATTACTTTATCAAAATGGATATAAAAAATTTATTATATCTATCATCATTACTTAACTTCTTATCAATGATAATAATATTTATATACTGATTTTCTTCATCATACTTTTACTGGAATTGTAATTTAGGATATAAGACTGTGGCATCATTCAGCAAAAGAATAATGTAGAGGCTTTTTTTACGTGTTTTTTTCAATGTGTCTTGTAATCTAAATATAGCTCAAACGCAGAACCAGCCCAAGATGTTCAAAGTAGTGGTGTTCTGTTAAGAATTTTTCTCAAACTTTACCTATATTTTTTTATTGATTTTAATGTGATTTTAATTTAACTGATACAAGTCAGTGATGTCATACATGTTATCTAAGAGGGCTACAGCCCTTGACATGGCCCTGCTCGGACTTTCCGCGTATAAATAGCCCATAGCAAATAACAGACAAGCCTTTACATCATGTGGTGCTCTTCTTGATGTCTGTTCTTGAATGATGTATTATATACAACCAATGGATAATACCCGATTCAGATATCACTATACAGACACCAAATCCTGGAAGTGCATGAAAATGAGTTTCTGTCCCTTTACTGCCAGATCAATGTGGAGGTTTTGTTTGGGTACCAAAATGGCTGAGGGGCTATATCCAAAGTATTAGTGGGTGACTCGGTGCGTAAGTTGTTATTGAAAGAAGAAATTAATCCTCTAAAACTAAATAAATTTCAATATATACATGTATAATATATTTACAGATCAAGATGGTAAAGGACTGCATTTATCATACAGGGACAAGCTACGAATGGTGGCTCTCACTAAGCAAGCGTCTCATGGAAAGTACACAGCAGATGCTTCTCCAGCTGTAGGCTTTCTTGATGTTGTTGGTAATGATAGGAAGTAAGTTTGATATTTTTTATATGCAGCATATGGTTTATTCTTCTTTGACTCTGTTCAACACACTTAATTATGGTTTCTCATTGCACTTTTGTTTATTGACTATTTGTTGCATTATCACCTGCATCTTTATTTTAACTCAATTCTTTTATGGTTTTATATCATAAATATAATGCTCAAATGAACATAATTATATCAATATTGTACATTCCAAAAAGCATTATTTGTAAAGATATTACCAAATTAACATTTCATGTTAATAAAGGGAGGTGATTAGAAATTTATTTTCTACAAAGTCTAAGTCATTTTTTTCAATAAGAAATGAATGCATATATTTTAATGATTACATATAATGTGGACCCAATTTTGCAGTACATATTTTACATATTCTTCGATGTTTGAAAATTGTTTAAGAAGCATAGTTATATACATATATAAAATTTCACTTAACTGTGGTTACAATCTTAATTACAACATACAGGATCTGTAAGTGTCATATCCATTGGGTGAATGTCAAGGTCACTGAATATAGAGATAGGTTTCAGTATGTTTCTCCATAAAGACCATGTTTTAAAAATAGTAAAAGTGTTGTCAGGGAGCATCCATCAGTGATTCCTAATTATTGTAAATCATTTTAGTTCTTTGCAAAATTTACTGATGTTTATTGATTGTATCATACACCCACCTTTTTTTACATTGTGTTTAAAAGAAGCCGGGTTCATTTCTTGACATTGGCAGGTAATGGTATATGAGTACTAGTCAGAAATTAATGTAAAGGATTTGATATCAACAAAAATAGTAAATGGAACCTCATATTGGTAAATAAATATATTCATTATGATGTACATTATTTTTTTGTATATTAACAGACAGATGTGGATGTCCCTCGGTGACATGTCTAAAGATGGCGCAATGGGAGAGTTTGTAAAAATGTTAGACAAACTGTGTCCACAATTTAAACCTCATATACAGGCACAAAAAGCTGAAATAGAGGAACAAGAAAGGAAAAGGTTGGTTTGAATTATTTTGTACATATTTCCAGCCTATATGGAAGAATATTTTTAGTAAGTGTGTGTGTTTAGTAGAAAGGGCAAAAAGGTACATTAATGTATGCCTACTGTTGTATGACATTATTAATGTTTTTCACATCACTAATCATTATATCATGGCAGATAGTTATGCATTATAGTTGATTAAGTTAACAAATATGTCTTACTTGTATTAATAAGACATTGGGTACAGAACTCACTTATGCTTGATGTAATATGCAGTAGTTATGTAACTTCAAATTTTGGTTCTTAATATTCATGAATGTTTAAATCTGTAAGTTAAGTCTTGACAGAGAATGTTGAATATTGTGATAGAAACAATTCTACATGTAGACAAGTGCTATTTGATACTGTGTTAATTGATCTTATATTGTATAATAAGGTACCAAATATTAAATTGTTAAATAAATCTCTAATGTAGCAGATAAAATTACATACCTAGAAAATACAGGCATTGAATATGGTTCTTCTGTGTATTTTTTTTCGAGATATTATCTATTCTCACATCAGTAGAAATATATAAATATTCACAATCAAAAGAATGAATATTTAATCATGTTTTATACAAGATTTAACAAATATTGTAATTTGTTATTTTTATCACCATATAATATGTCTACCCTTCTTTCTAATTCTAAGAGCTTCTGATTAGCTTGACATATAGTTGAATTTTATAAATAGTTAGTGCTAAATTAAATCAATCTATTTGTATAAACTGGAACAGGTTTTCAATGTTAAAAATATTAATCACATTTTCATGAGACTGATGGCATGCCATTTTGAAAACAGTTTGTATAACTCTGGTCTAAGTATATTTAATTTACTCAAAGCATAACAATAAGTTAACATAATAGATTGTATTGATATTATATCCATCTAATGTATATTAAATCAGAAATTCTGTCTGTTTTGTAGAAAAGAGGAAGAAGAACAAAAGAAGGAAGAAGAAGCAGAGAAAGAGAGAAAGTTACTGGAGGATGAAGCTCAAAGACAATTACAGTTAGAGAAACAGAGACAATTAGAACAAGAGTAAGTAATGTAGCATATATTGCATGGTCGAATATATATAAAACAAAATGTCAAAAATTTGTGTATTTGGTATATTTAGTGGTTGTCATTGTTTGTTTGTTAGACCTTTCTGTATATATACAATATATGGCAAATCACATATAGACAAAACAGGTGAACTGTTTGCTACAAAAATTTCTTTGGTATCAAAACAAGCATGAGAAAAGAACAGTGTCTTCAATTCATTCCTAATAATTAACCAGCAGCATTTACTTGCTTGATGCTCATTTATTATCAAATTAATGGTTCACATATTTATGCTTTTATTAAAATTTCAATGTATCTCACTGATTTTGTCACAAGGTCAGTTTGAAAGAACAACTAACATCTGGACAAGAAACAACTCTTTAATTTTTTATGACTTGAAAATTGATAATTACATTTTCAGTCCAGCACTTCGAGATCTTGACAAGTATGTATTTAATTGGGGGACAATATCCTAATTGCATGTATCATCATATTGTTGTTCATTAGTTGGGAACAAACACACTACATAATTATTTGGTTCTTTTCTGTTTAGCTTTTTGAATTCTGGTTTGTTTTTTGTGTGGTGTTGACAAACATAACACCTACATTCTTTTCAGAACCAATGATTGATATATTTGATTTTAGCTTGATTATTTGAAGAATAGGGAGAGATTTGTACTCACCCAGGTGCCTGCCTCGCCGTCACACTTTTGCTAAGTTTTTACATGGAAGTTTGTTTTTCCAAAATAACTGAAGGAAATGGGTTGAAACTTCACATACTTTTTGAGAGCATGATATGAGAGGTCCATACCTCTTAATATGGATTTTGAGAGAATTATAGCCGGTTTTGAACTTAGAAATTCTACATTTGAATTATTCCTTCTCTTCCACTACACAACTTCTTGCACACTTTTATATACATATGCTTTCATTTGCTGAGAATAGTAGAAACAGAACTTTATTTAATATTTGATATTTTACATTTCTTTACCAGAGGGAGTACAATAAAACAATAAACACTATATATCAGAAACCATTTAAGTGTCAGTTTTGTTGATTTGTTTTTTATGTTGTTTTTTCCTATATATATATATATTGGAATACTATATTCCACAATAGTTATGGGCTTAATACATGTATAGTGTTGGATCCCTGTAAAATATGTTTGTATGGTTCACATATAAAAGTACATTCTGTGTGGATATGATAAGATATGATAAGATTAATAACTTTTGTAGTTATTGATTTGATATTGTTAGGACATTTTTACATAATTTTCATGAATATTTGAATTTGTCATGCAGCTTTGACCTGACTGACTTCACTCTTGTTTCTACAGCATTATGGTTTAAAGCTTTTAGAAAACAGAAGCATTGTTTTTACAGGGTTTATTTATTTAGGTGAGATTTTAAAAGCTTTAAACATTAAATTTCCAAACATGCTGCAAAAAAAGTCTTCTGAAAATGAAATAATGAGAAAGGTGCCGAGTGTTTCAGGCAAAATGCACTTTTCTTTTTAAAAGTACCTATTTGTACCACATCATGTTTTTTATTTATGAACAATTTTGAGAACTGGAATTATCCCGTTTCCTGATAATGCTGCAGGCTTAGTGCATATGATATGTCATTTTAGGAGAGAGACTGTTTTGCCTTCAGAAGAAATCAATTTTTGGATGATATTTAAGATATTTTAAGCTCTATAAGTTGTTAAATTTACAATGAGATAATTCTAGTAGCTGTTGTTGTACACTTCTGCACAATACAACATCACAATGCTGTATAGCACCCTGTTGTTGATGTTTGGCAAGATTAAGGCAACAGAATCTATTAAATATGTCCTTTTTAAAGATCTTTCTTGTATAACATTTAAGTCAGACACAATGTTTCATTGATCAAGTGAAAATGTTTTGGCATGGTTTCCTTTGTTTGAGAAGAACAGAGTCTATGCACATAAGATAGAGATATTTCACTTTTAGGGGAATGGTGGCAGGGTCTATTGAGAGGGAAACATTGTGTTGTGAAAGGGGAGAAGTTTAAAATTTATGAAACTGTCCATTTTTTTGTGAAATTGTGATTATATTATAACACCATTAATTTTTATGTCTTTCTCTGTCTCACTATATTGATAATATGGATTTCAATTTTTTCCAATTTTGCAGGGGAACTATTTTTAGAAATAGGAAAAAAAAATTTTTTCAGTTCTTCCAGACATTTTCCACAAAATTTGATCTATTTAGATAACTTTTAAATAGTTACAGAGTTATACTTCAAACACAGGATATATTGATATAGTTCAAAAAATGTTAATGATGTGTTCAAACTGGTTTTTGAGCTTATAATGATGATGATAATATTTATACACTTTATAGTGGGGAATGAAACTAAAGTACTTGTAAAGTAAAGCACTGCCTGGTATTTATTCATATTTTACACATTAATTTAAAAGTATTATATTTCGTCATAATATATCACACTATAATTTAAAGGTATTCATTCATATTTCACTCTATAGCTACAAGGTTTATGTTCATAAACTCACACAATACTTAAAAGGTATATAGTCATACAAATTTCACACTACACATATGATTAAATTGTAATATTTTTATTGATTTTTAGACTGCAATTTAAATTATTATAAGGCTGGTAAAAAAAGATAATTTCGTATTTATGGTAAAGCTTTGCTTAATACATGTATGATTGTACTTGGGATGATTTATTTTATCTGCACAATCCTATTAACATTAATTGATCTGCAGCTAGATGTTGTAGGTGTTAGAATAACTTATAAAGTAAGATACATGTTCTGTAACAGATGTTTATCAATGAAAAAAGAAAAACAAAAAACAAAACATTATTCATGGTTAGCAACTTGCTTTTCATGTTAAACCATGAAGTATGAAGTTTCCACACCACAAGACAATTGCTCTTGTTTCTTTAGATTATGAAATGCTGATACTTTAATATTGGTATACAAGTTAAAAATATTTCTCACTGTCTTTAAAGTTACATTATACCAAGTGCAAATGGTCCGTGAACAGGTTTAAATTTATTAAAAAGCAGCTTGACATTTTGCCATAATTGTGTTCAATTTTATTTTTTACTATGACTGTATAACCAATAATCAACATGACCAACAGAAATTTCTATAAACAGCGCATTTTTTTGTGGGCCTGGGCCTGTTCATTTTGTGAAAAAAGCGTGACATGTCATAAAATTGTGAAAAAAAAATGTCATATTTTGTGTTTGCAATTGGCGAAAATCAAGTTTTACGGGAAGGTAAACAATAATTTCAAAGACAAAGTCCTGATATTTTGTGAAATCTTTTGAAATTGTGATTTTTTTTCCTGCCACTTTGTGAAAAAAAAAGTGCAATTTGAATTGTGAAGGGGCCGAACATCGGTACATATTATAAAAGGAAAAAATGCCCTGATAAATACTGTTCAGAATATATCGGTAATGCTCAATTTTTAAAATGAGTGGGGCAGTTTTTTTATATTTTAGGTAGTTAATATACTGTATCGTAAATTATTTTTATTGTCAATTATTGATCATTAATGGTTGCCAATCTTTTGAAATATATTACTTATTCAACTCAACTTGTCAGCGAAAAAAATAAGCATAATGTCACTTTAATCAACCAGACAGCAATTAAATACAAAATTGCGATGTTTATTTTTGTACTCTCCATCAGTCAGCTATATTAATTATTGAAATTCTCTCAGATAATCTGAAGATAGATCAGATTTTGTAGAACTGTAATTTTCTTGTCTTAAGCAATTTTCTCTTTGAAGAAAACTACAGATTAATGGCAGTGTTTGTGCATTTTAGATTTATAATTTAGCTTGTGAAAGCTTACAAATGAGGAAAAGATCAGACAACTGTCCTTTTAGAAAGATTTCATGGCTTTTCTGTTCTGGGAGGAAATAAGGATGTCTTTCTTATATTTCTTGTTTATGGGAGTGAAAGAAATTATTTATTGATGTGTCTTGTTCAAGGTTATTTTAGGAAAGTCTTCTGTAATTAAAAAGACTGCAGTTGCAGGGAAAATTAAATGGTAGTCACTTTTGTTACAAGTACAATGTATCATAGTCAAACATTAAAATGTCTGTAATCTGAAGTTACAGTTAGGTGCAGCATTTGTAACATTCCTTAGTGATCCTTAATAAAAATTATAAATATTTATATATCATGCAATTTATGTGAAATAGACCCTTCTGTATGGTCACCAATGTTATATAGACTTTTAAAGTAGAAGCCATTTTAAGACTAAAAGGCCCAGAATTTTTTTATATATTTTGTGTATATCCTTATTTTTAGGGCCTCGGAAAAAAAGGAATGTAAATTATAACCTTGGTAACATAAATGATTTATAAGCAAAAATGTTAGATATGCAGTGTTTTCTTTTAGTCTTCTGCAAAAGGTACTTTTGAGTCACTACCTTGGAAATTTTAAGGTCTATTGAGCATATACTATTCAAGGTTGATCTGGTAGGACCAATCAGTTACTTGGTATTTAATGTCTTTTATTAGTTAACTAACTAGAGGTCAAATGAGTGGAAAACTTGAAAAATTATTGCAAATTTTGTTAAAAGTAAAACGTTTCAGATGTGACAAACTGACAGTTTTGATCTTTTGCATTTTATTGTAACATTTTAATAGACAAATTTAAAATCATGTTTGTATAATATGTTGTTATAAGTTTTTGTGTTTTTTTTTCTTCCAAAATCTTGCCTATAGATTGAGAACATTCTTCTTGCTCTTTGAGTCAGATAATGTAATAATTTACTTCCATTTGACATGAAATATTTTTATCCTAAAATTATTGAAGGTTTGTTAAGGCACATTTATTTTCTTTAGACATGTAAAACTCTCTTAAATAAATTTGTAGATTATGTAGCAGTGTCAAATAAAGATGAAAGATGATTTGAATTATTTGAGGTTTTACCATTTCACAAAAATAGCAGTTTTAACATTACACAAAAGATAGTTTTACCTTAATAAATTTTTTAGTTTTTTAACATTACACAAAAAGTACAGTTTTACCATTACACAAAATATAGACAATTTAAACATTACAAAAAATCTTTTAGTTTTAACATTACAAAATATACATTTTTACCATTACACAAAATGTACATTTTTATTTTCTTTGTTTAATAAACAAAGAGTGCAGTTTGACCATTACACAAAATATACAGTTTTACAACAGATTTACCATTACACAAAAAGTAAAGTCATATTTTACATCATTTACTTACTTTAATGAGAGACAGGAATTGATGATAAAACAATGACAATCTAGAGCCAGGTCAGCTTAATGCAGTTTAATAAAACCATAAAAACTTATTGTTTGCTGCTTAATATTACCAGCTGCTTGGTGTGTGGGGAATATATGTCATGAATAATGCTCTTCAGTGTTTTCTTTAGGGACCACATTTATTCACTCTGTTACAAGTTTGAGAGTATGAGGAGGTCAAAGTCATCCACCTTTTCCCTTACATTTAATATACATCAAATAAATTAAATAAAAATATAATACACATAATATTAAATCAATTTCATATAACTACACTCCCTTGCTGATTGTGTCTGCCATACATGTATTTTAGTATTTTGATATTGAATTCCCTAAAGTCAACAATTTGAAACCTCATAGAATAAAGAAGCCAATATTTAATTTTGTATTTCAGATATTCATATTATTCTGTAAACAAGAAAAAAGATATATGCATATTCACACATTGTTTCTGTCACACTCATTACCTATTATTATAATGCCTATTGTCACCTTATTAACAGGCTTTTAGAGAGGAAATTTGGGTAAATATGAACAGCCATTTGATAAAAATTGATATATGGCCAGCTGCATGTCAAATTGTGTTGCACTTTTCCATTATATTGTTGTCATCATTGATTTTGCCTAACTGTATCATTCAAGAATTGCCTAACTGTATAAACTTGCCTAACTCTCAATGAATATTTGTTTTCATTGATTTTGTGATGCTTGCAGAAAACAGATACGAGCAGCTCTTAACCAGCAGACGGCACAGCAATTTAAACAATACGCAGAACAACAGTGCCCAGGAAATATCAAACAGGTTAGATTTATTCTTCTTTTTCTTTAATTACTGAATTGTAGCAATATATGTTGACTTAGATATGCTACTTGGGTTAAATTAAAAAAAAAGAAATCAATTGAAGTGTCATATGAAGAAAATGGCATCAGTTTGTTTATGTAAAAAAGTTGTATCAGAGTTTTGTTGTATTGACATAAAAAGAACAAAGCACAGCTTGTTTCAGCTTAATGCTGATTATGTTAACATCTGTTTTGTGTTCATCATGGAGATAGTTTATGTCAGTTGTCAGCCTTTGTTCAAATTGAATTTGTTTTTAAAATAATTTTGTTTGCATGACGAAGGGTGAATATTTTTATGTAAAGAAAACTGTCAAGTGTTGATGGTTCTTTCTAAGTTCCAGCAAATATATAAAATGATACAGTGAATAGCTCCCTTCACTTTCCTGCTAAAACACATCTTAATTTTTCATGAAAAAGACATGAACATATAAATTTATCAAAAACTTCCGGTACATTTATAATGGTATTTATGTGATTTCATGAAAAATTAATTTGTTTGAAAACTGTGCATGCACTAATAAATAGCAATATTTAATGAGTTATCTGCACATTTTATCTAACAGGTATCCATGCAGGCAAATAAGTTCCCATCATGCAATATATTCTAGGCTTTCGTTGTAGTGTTATAAAATGGCTATATAGTTTATTGACATACATGATTATTTTTGACAGCTTTTTTTAACCAGATTTTCTGAGAGAAAATACTGGTTATTAGTTTGAACTTAAGTAGGCAGAAGCAGACATTTTCTTCTGTGTGCAACTTCTACATTTTCAACAAATTTTAACCAACTGTCACAGAAGTATTGTCAACAAGTTACCTGCCACAAATTTTTAAATTGACAATTAAATTAGTAGGCAAAATTAGTAGAGATATCCTTCTCACCTGCGATTCGGTCTAACACTTTGGTTAAGGTTTTGCATGAAAGATCATACCTCATCAACCACTTATGGTATTTGCTTGTAACTTCACACATTAATTTCAGAGCATAATAGGAGGTCAGGCAGTCTAAGATCCATAAATCTAGCATGTAGTTTGGCAGAATTATGGCCCTTTTTGAACAAGGAAAATTATTGGTTAGTTTTGCATAAAACTTCAATCTTCAAAACTACTGAAGTTATTCACTCAAACCTTGATACGAACCTTCGGGATCATAATTAAAAATCAATATGCAAGGCCCATAACACTAGTGTGGATTTTAACCAAATTATGGCTCTTTTTGAACTTAGAAAATTCTGAGTGTAAAGTTTTGTATTATGTTCAAGGTATTCACATGAAACTTAATACATGCCTTTGGGATCATAATTACAAGTCACTCAAAATTCTGACATGGTTTAAGTTTTACATGCAACATTAATGTTTCTTAAAACTACTGATTGTATTCACTTGAAACTTGGATCATGCTTTTTGAATTACATAATTGTATGTAAGGTTGTATACTGGTCGGGGACCATCAACCAGACACTTTTTGAACATTTTTCCGTACAGATTTTATAATTTTTAACACAGAGACCTAAAAATTTGACACAGTTCAGCTAGGTTTTTCTCCTAACTAAAAAACTAGTTTATTTTTTTTCTGATTGCATTGACACTTATATCTGAGGCTTACAAGCAGGGTATCAAAATTACCTAAATTGTCTACACTACAGTACCATGTGTCCGGACAGATATGTACATGAAATGATTTCATTCAGATAAAAGCTTGGGTGTTTTGATTTGTGATTTTCAACATGATAAACAATATTCCAGCAGCAAATGCTGAAGTTTTGGATATTCTATTGTTTACTAGCAAATGATAATAGCTGGTATATGAGGTCAGGCATTGCTTTCTTGACCCCCAAATTTCAACGTCAACATTTTTGAAATAGACATTGAAATATTACCATTTAAGGAGGTTGAAATAAGATTATTTACTTAATTATAGAAGAAACATTCATTTATTGTTGATAAAAAAATGACTGACAACCACTAAACAACTAAAATACTAAATTAAGCATTTTCGGGGCCGTCTGGGTTTGGTGGTTGTCTGGTTTTGGTGGTCCTCAACCAGTATAGTCTATATTTAATAAGAGTCCATCTGCCCATACAAAAAGTAGCTTTCACTATCTATGACGGACCCTGGACATGTCTATAGTCATGCCTTTACAGGATTAACTTAGAGTCACAAATTGGTGATAATTTACCTCTGTGCAATTTTCACAGAGTATAAGCCAAATTAGTACATATTACAATACAGTTACCAATAAGACATAAAACATTCAATAACCTGTGACAACAATGGAGGAGGGGAGGTAGCCCTGCTAAAAGCAAAGGGCCTGTCTTCAAGCTGTCAATACATATAAGGGTGTACTCTTCCTCTTTGTCATCATTTAAAACTGAATATATGGAATGAGATGTAATCATTGTATATTTGTATAATTATCAGTATTTATGATATCACCATGGTAATGTTAGGAGTAAAACTGTTGATTTAAACCATGTGGCATTTTAACTATACAAGAACCACCATTACAGAATTTGACACTTCCTGATGACACTTATATGATGATTTGTAATTTGAGTTTACACATGTGTTCCTATTGATCTGTTTAGACAACATCTTGTATTTTGATAATAAAAATACAGAATTTTGTTACTTAAATAATTGTATGTCCATCCCCCCTTCCAGCTTTAAGAGTATGTACCGGGGATTGGTAGTGAAGGGGATTTTGTCCAGCCTTGTAAAAACACGAAGGGGATTATGTCCGGGTATGCGAAGGGTATTTTGTCCGAAGGGGATTATGTCTGACATTCACCACAAGCAATTCACCATTCCTGCCGTTAAAGGTCATGTCCTCAAAATTAATAAACTCCCAAAGGTGACCTATTAATTTTGAATTCATCAATTTCTATGGCCTTTTATAATGTAGTGTCATCTATAAACTCCCCTGCTGAAGAGGATTAACTTATAGAAATTGCCCACTATAACCTTGACCCACCCATCCCCAAGGAAAGGTGAGGAATAGCAGAGGATAAAGAGGTGAGCTTTTAGTTTTGGTTACTTCCCACAGCCTGGTAAATGTGTGGTTGTATTGTAATGCCAGTAATGCCACAATGAGGGATGATATTAGAGGGGATTTCATAAAACTTTAAAAATCAGTTTCTTGAAAATCCAAAAGTCCATGCCCCTGCTATTCCCTGGGGATGGAGGTGATATGGTTACAATATTTCATGATTTATTTTTCAATTTACCAGTCTTACATTGTGTTCTTGATTAGATGAATTGATTTAAAGAGCAATACAGAAAAATATTACATAGATATTACAGTTATTGTATTTACTGGTACACTCCACTTTAAAAATAAGCTTCTTTGTTCTTCGCATCTAAGACAAATGATGTTGATTCATATTGGTTCAACATGACTCTGTGATAAGCACAATATTTAAAAGCACAACAAAACATGTATAATATACTAAATATATATAACATTCTCTTACATATCATTCACATTTTAACTTTAAAAGGCTTATTGGCGAAATTAGTTGTCAGTGTGTAGAGTTTATGATCAGTTAGACCATGGAGCCTGCCAATCCTGTACTTATCTTCTCATTTTGTATTATGGAAATGGTGTTTTGTCTTGGCACTAGTAAATGTTTCCTCAGATCAATAGATGGTTGATCAATTCTATTCTGATCTCAAAGTGTCATTTAATTGACTTGATTGTGATTTGAACATGGATTTATACAGGATTTAATGCTAGAATCAATTATTTTGAATGAGCTTTTATAATTTGAAATGATGCAACTTGATTTTGAAGATGTCAAAACAAATGCAGTTATCATGAAGTAGTCTTATTTTAGAATTTTAGAGCTGTTGTAAGTTCAGATAGAAGTATTGTAGGGTTAAGCAAGAGTTTAAATTCCTTTACCTCTTGTTACTTCATAAAATTTGTATTACATGACAGATCATATATTTTGATGTGACATCATTTACATTATACATACATACAATAAAAATGCCTTAAATGTTAGAGTTAAACTATAAGCATATCAATGAAAACAATATTCTTTTTTACTGAAAACAGTTTTTATTACCGGGACTATTCACAGAATACTCGAGCTAATGCAGTCACCCATTTGTCGGCGTCAGCGTCCCTGTGATTAGTTTTTATGTGTAATCTGGTATCTCCGTAACTACTGAACGGAATGGATTGAAACTTCACAAACTTGTTCTCTGTGATTTAACATGATTGCCTTGATTGGCACAAGTCCCATAACTCAGATTTTCTTTTTTGCATAATTACCCCTTTTTCGACTAAGAAATTCTATGTTAAGTTTTTGCGTGTATGCTGGTATCTCCATAACTTCTCAAGGGAATGTATTGAAACTTCACACACTTGTTCTCTGTGATTATCTAACATGATTGGCACAAGTCCCATAACTCTAATTTGCTTTTTTGCATATTTATGTCCCTTTTAAGTTTTTTCTTGTAAGCTGGTATCTCCATAACTACTGAAGGGAATGGATTTAAACTTCACACACTTGTTTTTCTGTGATTAGCTTATATGATTGGCACAAGTCCCAACTCTGATTTGCATTTTTGCATATACATACCCCTTTTTCGACTAAGAAATTTTTGGAAGAGCATGAAACATTGTCCAGTAGGTCTTTTATCGTGTTTGTTTTGGGTTGAATTTGGCCCCATCCTGGAAGGTCATTAGTTTTCCTTATATATACATAGTAAAACTTAAAATATCTTTCTTCTCAGAAACCACAAAGGCTTAAATATTTAGCATGATCAAAACATTGTTTAACGGACCTCTACCAAATTTGTTCAAATTATAGACCTGAGGTAAAAATAAAATCCAGCCCCAAGGGTCATGCGTTTTTCCTTATGGTATTTTAGTAATAACATAAAAAATCCTTGCCTGAAAGTTTTATGTGAGATAATCTAATGGTCAGAAAGATAGATCATATACTGCCAG